GGCCAAAGTCATTTAGTACTGTCATTGCTGCAGATAAATTAAAGGCTTAGAAGGGCAATCAAACATCTCATAACATTACAATATACTGTTTTAAGACCAAGTACTGCTTTAATCTTCGTAGTCTTATTTCTTTGGAGCATTCTGCACCTTATATCTAAGTATGTGCAGATGTACATGGAAAACGCACAGCTTTCCAAAAGTGCAAACTGTAATGAAACTTCAGTTATTAACTGCTCAGCAATACTGAAGGCTTCTGCTCCTTCTCAGTATGCAGTCTATTTTACAAAACTGCTTATTTCTTCAGCATGACAGTAGGAGCTAACATTATGGCTGGGACTGCATCAAATCAAACTTGTATGTTTTAATGGGTCCACCTATTATTGGACAACAGAAGATAAATCTGAGAGCTGACAGCTTGTACTTTCCACTCTAGATTAGTTGCTGTGTGTTTGAATGTGGCGGGGAGAGGAGCTGTTCCCTAGAAATCTAGCTTTCAAAGAAGTTTAAATTCATCTGTAGTTGTAGTAAAAGGTCCGTGCTGCATGAGAGGCTCTATGAGGCTCTATTGTCAGACTTTGAGGTCCACCCAAACTTCTCAGCAAAACTCCAGCTTTGAGAAGAGAAGGTACAGGAAACTAGACTGTGACCACATCCGAAAGGAATGTGTGGAATAACTTACTGATGTGCAGGTAGAAAAAGAAATGAAAAATGAAAGATTGTTCAGAAATGCAAGTGATGAATCTGAGAATTTGGTATTGAGATTGGGAGTTTTATTAACAAAACTGCAACAATCTGATGACTTAATGATTGACAACCAACATCTTAGTGGGTTGAACTCTGTTTTTGAGATCTGATCTCAGACAGACAGTAGAATTGGATGTAAAGCTGCATATCATAGTTCTGGCAGTATTCAATGAAAATACTTCTTCTATTGGTATATATGTGATAATCTTGAACATAATTTTCTTACAAAATGATATAATTATTACTGTTTAAGTTAACTGATGTTATTCATGTTTAAAACTGGCACGTAAATTACTGGTGATATCCCTGCATTGTTGCCAGACTTCAGAGAAGACAGAACAAAAATTTACAAACTTCTTTGATGCTATCTTAGAGCCGATTTCTATTCTCCTACTCATGTGCCAAGTGAATCCTTTCTTCTGTTTCTTGATTCAGGTGTCACCTTTCTATTTTATCTTCTTCCCCACACAACCAAGTTGAATCTATTACCTTTCTTACTGTTGTATCTTTATTATTCTGTGTGTTGCTGTATTCCTTTTCCCTGCCCTTCTTATCTTGTCAGTGGATTTGATGGTGTTGGGGTGGTGGTGTGCTTCTCATTGCCCTTGCCTGAAGGCCACGGTAGGGGATCTTTTCCTCACAGTGTTTTACAGCCTAGGATGGAAAGTGATCATGATAGGAGAGAGTTCCAGTGCACAGCTGTGGTGGTTTCTCTGCAGAACTGTCCTGGGTGCTTGTACAATGCAGAGTATGAAGTACCAGAACTGTCAGCTTGTGCTGACTTATATGCTAACTGTTGTGCTGACTGCTTAATAAATGGATGTCTGCCGTTTGATTTATTCTTACTTGTTATTGCTTTTAAGCTTTAAATGCACTGAGGAGTGCCTTATTCAGGAAAAGAGATCCCTAAGAACTGCTACACTTTGAATTGCTACTCTAGGGAAAACCTTGCTGAAGTTAGATGTGATGTAAATACAACTTCGGATGAGGGAGAAAAAAATAATTTTGTCTCTTGTTATTTGCATCCTTGTGTGTAACAAGTGCTAGGTATTGTATGTTATTGCCTTTAGGAAAAAAAAAAAAAAAGGCAAGCCCACCAACTTTTTTCCAATTTTCACAATTTTACTGCCATCTTTTATTTTAAAATTAGCAGGTTTCATGTTGATGTTGCTCACCTTTCTGTAAAGGAAGGCTCCCGAGCTCTTAAAAAGGAAATGTTAACATGTTATGGATTTATTTTTTTAATTCTCTGTTTTTACTTAAGAATAAAAAACAATGAGGAAGAAGCAAAGGGATAGGCACAGTGAGTTTGGGGTCAGTGATCTGTGTTACAGGGGAAGTTTTGGCAGTAGCTCTTGACAAATGTGGCTGAGTACCTGCCAGCAGCACAGGAGAGTTAGGAATGCTGTAAGGAAATAGAGTGCAGTTACTGTAGCTGGTGAGTGCTAATTAGCATTTGCTATGTGTTGAAATGTCTTATGTAAATACTGCTGGATTAGCTGAGCATCTGTCAAGTCTGCTTTTTTTCATGGTGAATTCAAATATAAACATAAATTCCTGAGTGCAGTAAAAAGAAGAATATGGTGGAAGATGTAGCTATTGTGCTGTATTCGATTGTAGCTATCGTAGTGTGTTCAGTTTTGGGCACCTCAATACAGAAAGGACATTGAGGTGCTGGAGCAGGTCCAAAGAAGGACAACAAGGCTTCTAAGGGCTTGGAGAATATGCCCTGTGAGGAGAGACTGAAGGAACTGGGGCTGTTCAGTCTGGGGAAAAGGAGGCTGAGGGGAGACCTTACTGCTCTCTTCCAATACCTTAAAGGTGCTTACAGCAAGAGTGGGGTTGCTTTCTTCTCACTGGTGACAGGTGACAGGTCGAGGGGAAATGGCCTCAAGTTGCACCAGAGTAAGTTTAGGTTGGATATCAGAAAACACTTCTTTACAGAAAGTGTTGTTAAGCACTGGAATAGGCTGGAGGTTGAATCACCATCCCTGGATGTGTTTAAAAACTATTTGGATGTGGTGCTCAGGGACATGATTTAGTTGTGGGTTGTTAGAGTTAGGGTAGTAGGTTTGGGTTGTGGCTTGGACTTGATTATCTTTAAGGTCTTTCCAACCTGAGTGCTTCTATGTTTCTATTCTTCATTCATCAAGGCAGGTAATTCATCTCTCAGTCAAATCTTTAATATTATACTATACACCTGATTACAAGATCAGTAATATTTATTTCAGCCAATTTCTTGAAGACACAAAGGGTGTCACTTTGTATTTCTATGAGATGCCTCTCTCGCTTGTTGGCAAATCTGAGCATTGTATTACAAAAATGTCATAAAATAAAGTTATTTGGTTTTTTTTAAAACAAAAGTGACTTTGCACTGATATCTGTCAGCATTATTAAGAGTGCCGAGAATCCAGAAGAATGAAGTAATGAAACAAGAAAGTCTGTGCGTATCTGATGTTTTTGATTGGGTGAATTGAGGGGTGCCTCCAACCATTGCCTCTTTGCTTACCCTTGAGAAAAGCAATGAGGGCAGGTTCCAACTGTCAGAGCTATGTATGAGAAGTTGGCATCTTGCTACTTGTGATTAATGTTTAAAGGAACAGACCCGTGGTAAAAATTTCAGGTATGATTGTTTAAAGCAGAGGTTGGAAAGATACCATCAACAATAATTTAAATAAAAAAAAAACCCTTCCTGTTTTGTATTGTTGACATGCAAATGTAATTCAGATGCAAGAATAGAAGAAAAGCAAGGTTTACCTGGAATGCTTTCTTTCCTGCTTTCCCCTTACTTATATAAATACAAATGTGTTTAGATGACAGGAATGAAAACTTAATTATTACTTAAGCTCCACATCTCAGTTACTGTCTGTGCAGTTCTGCTATGCTGTGATAAGGGCCTAATTGTGTCTACATGGAAAAGGTGTGTAAATTAATGAAAACACGATATATACAGAAGTGTGTTAACTGGAGAACCCTTTTTGTATGATTTTTAATTCTTAAAAACTGCGTTGTAGTATATTAATTCGTTGTGCATATTTGCATACTATTAACATATATGTAAAATTAGCAGAAATAGATTTAATGGTTGCGTGTTGTTACTAGAAATCTCATTTAATTTCAACCTTTAAACTTGAAAAATGCATTTATTGGGAGCTGTGGCCTCTTGAATTTACATTTACTTGCCTTGAAACATTTTGTTCAGCTTTCCATTTTCTATAGGATCGATACACTGGTCCTAATTGATGTGTATGTATGTTTAGTTGGAAAACTGTTTACTACTGAGGAACTGGGGAAAAAATAATAGAAACTTTGAACTTTCTTATGTTTATAACTTCTGTTGTTTCAGCCAATAGTTTGCCTAAAGGGCAAATCAATTGAAGGGACTTCTATTTTAACTGCCTAAATAGAGGGAGCTGTACTTTCAGATTGACTAATTTCTTCCTCTGTACTCAGTCTTAAGTTACTTACAAATTTACTCCTCCTTTATTGATGTGTATGTGTTTATTCCTATAGCTGTGTTACAGTGCTTTATATAATAGATACATGTCATTCATAAACCTTATGTAGCTTTTCATCCCTGTTGCAACTCCATCATATAATACATACTACATGAATATACTGGCTTGAAGGAACTTGGATGCTGTGACTTGTTACAATTCTTTTTTTATCTGGTTCTATGAATCAGTCAGTGCTTTAATAGAAAGATCTGAAATGTCTGTGTAAACCGTCAGCTTATAACCTACATAAAATGTCTCATGAAAATAGCCTTCAAGAATTTTTCTAAGGGAAAGTGGAATGATTTAACTTAATAGAGAGAAATAAGTGATGAGATGTGACTTCTGTGTGATGTTCTGACAGGTGGTTCTCTTTCAAAAACATCATCCTCACTAAGAATTGTTGTTCTCCATGTCTGTGCATGTCTGTTTGGGCTGTCAGTGAGACTTGGAGTGAATGAGTCCTTTTCGTGCTGTTGTGCAGGCATTCCTTTAAAGGTGCAAAGTCTCATGTTCTAGGTCATTAGAATTCATGCTGACTTTTTGGCCAGGCTGCTTTGAAAAGTATGTAGGGAGATGAGTATTACCTTTTCCGTTCAGATCGATGCAGTCTTTGCACAGTTCAAAGAACACATAATTTAACAGTGACAGCTGTTGTTATTGCCAAGTATATCAGGTTAGCAAGTCAGAAAGAATTCTTTTTAGTACAAATTTAAGCAAATTTTCTTGAGAACTATGATTTTTTAATTTTTTTTTTTTAAGGTGAGATTGCAGTGCAAACTGGAGATCTGTTGCCATGTAGGATTTGTGGAAGGACTTTCTTTCCAGCAGCACTGGTAAGTGCTATGAGCGCTGTTGGCTTTTACATTTGATAAGTCGATATGAAGGTTAAGCAGTGATCAGAGTAGTTAAATAAAGAAGATCTAGATTATTGCTTTTTTCTAGTTTTATTTTTATTTTTTTCAAGTTAACAATTCCCATTGTCTCAGTCTTGAAGCTATTTAAAGATTAATTGTATTTTGGCATCCTGTCGCATTCTGAAAATTTAGATGCTTCTAAAGACGTTTTCTCTGGGGCCACAGAATCATTCCTTGCCTCTGCAAACGTAAGGCCTAACACCATTCCATACTACCTAGCAAATGAAGCGTTCTGTTAGCAGTTTTCAAAATTCCTGCCTCTTCAGTCTTAATATAAGTTGAATTTTCCTTTAATATGAATATGAATTTCAGACAGTTTCTGATCCATCTTTCTTCTTAATACAAATGCTGCCTACTTACCTATCAGTTTTTTTATTTGTAAGGAGCAAATACAGATGCCTCCCTTTCTCTTCCTTACTCAGACCCCAAGTTTTTGTGATCACGTATTTACATTTGTAAGTTCCTGTATGTCTGTTAAAAGAAGTAATGCTGGCATAAGAATTTGAGTGAAAGCAGTCTGATCCTACTCATCAGGTCCTGGGCCTCATTTGCTTATTGGCACATCTAGAAAGAGGAAAATAACATGTTAATAACATATTTCTAAAAATAAACTCTGCATTCTCTTTAATTTTTTCTACTTGAAGAAAAAACATGGACCCATTTGCCAAAAAACTTCTGCCAAGAAAAGGAAGACATTCGATTCCAGCCGACAGAGAGCAGAAGGAACTGACATTCCCACAGTAAAACCTCTTAAGCCACGGGTATGTTATAATTTACTCCCTGTATGAACATTTTAGGTAAAATATGTATACATTATAATAAGGTTTATTTCTGCTGGCTATTTGTGATAATTAGATCAACTAGGATCTGGAACGATTTTATAATAAATGTATTTAACATGAAGTAAGAGCTTCAAACAAAAAGCTGTGGGTTTGTTTTTTTGTTTTTTTGACTTCTTAGCCAGAACCCCCCAAAAAGCCATCCAATTGGAGACGGAAGCATGAGGAATTCATAGCAACTATACGAGCAGCCAAAGGACTTAATCTTAAAGATGGTGGAAAACTTCCTCCACCACCTCCGCCATCATATGACCCTGGTATGTACTAAACTACTGAGTTCCTTAAAGACTTTTTTTTGTAACTTAAACAATATATAAAATTTTGAATATAAAGGACTTTTTTTGAATACAATATTCACGAGTTCTTGAAGATTCCTGTCTGTTATCCCAATGCAAATGTTGTTTCATGACTGTGGATCTGGCTGGCTAGCATCCTGAGTGGTTTTTCATGCCTGTGACTTTGTTTTTAATGCACCAAAACATAGTTATAGCCAACTTGCAACTTGCTAGTATGTTACATACTGTAGGTTGTACAAATTGTTTCAGCACCTTATTTCTACCTTCTGCAGCGGAACAATTCAGAGCAAAGTGTCTTTTTAATTGGCTGCCAATTCTGGACATCTACATCCTTTATATATTGTAGGAATCTATGTATTTGTCAAGTGTAGTCTATCATTTTTTTCTGACTTCAGATGTAGTTTCATAATTGCACTGTATGTACTTAACTGCTCTAGGCATGCTTGTGATCCTCCCTCATGCATTGGGGAAGGCTTGTGTTTTAGAGTATGTGAGATCAGTGGAACTTGTATTAATATGTGAGTAACATTTCTTCAGTGTTCTCAGACCTTGAGTTAGGTTAAATATGGAAGCAGTCTGGGGTGTTAAAAGAAAAACACTTAAGTGAACTAATGTCGTGTGATTGTAGATTGGAGAATATCTTTGTTCTGGTCTTAAGAGGTAAGCCATTTGATTAAATCAGTGGTTGTTTTCAGAAAGATTGGGAAAAAACATAAAAAATCATCTCTTTGCTTCTGGCTGTCTGTGATATTGTGAGGACGTCAGTATTCTACAACTTGTTTCTCCTCAGGAAATGCATTAATCCCAGTATAAGGACTGTAGCTGTGCGTTCATACTGAGAAGTAAAGGGTCATATTATTCAGGATGCTAGGAAACATCAGGCCTAATCATGGAAAAGATTAATAACCTAGTTGTGTAGGTTCTGAATTACAAGAAGAGAAGACCAGAATGAAATTTGCCACACAGAAGCTACTGAAACAGGATTCCCTTGGCACCAGTTTGCAAAAGAATGCAAGTAAAATGAAACGAAGAAAGTCGCTCTCTTCACTTTGCTTGAGTATGAAGATGTACAGGGAAGAGAACAGTATTACACCTTTGTTTATCTTCCTTCCTTTTTACTTTCCCAAGCTGTGCTTTATTATCTATAGTCTCCTTGCTTCATCCTGTTGCAGTGGGTAAGGAGTGAACCAGGAACAAAGAGAAGGTGTGTTAGTTAATTATGGACTCTTCCCACAAAAAAAAAAACCAACAACCTACAGACAAAAAGACAGAGCAGAGGTAGCTACAGTTCTGCCTTTTTCACTTTATATGTGGGAAGAAAGAGGAATTATACAGTGTATCATGGAGTATATCCATCTTCTCCTACTCAGCTCTGTTTTTGGTATGCCTACTTCTAGGTAGCTGTTAGACTATTTTTCCTTTAAGTAGGAAATATCAATACAGAATATTTTTCTTTTAACTGCTTGCTTTGAATTTGGGAGAAAAAAAATAGGCGGTATTGTTCCTTCTTTGATCACCTGCTCCACTGTTTCTTAACAAACAATGTAGAAAAACTTGATGTTGAAAAGGATTTTAAGTCATTCCTATTTACACTGAACTTGGTTACATGTGTTTATTGCCTATTTATTTTGATTAGTTTACATTGAATCTTAACAGTTGTTCTGGATGGTACTGTCTGGTCCTGGGCAACCTGCTGCAGGTGTCCCTGCTTGTTAGACCAGATGGCCTCCACAGATCCCTTTCAACCTCAACTGTACTGTTCTATGGTAGCTAGGTGGCTGCCTGGTGCTAAGCATTTTACAAAAGGATAAAGATACAATCCCTTATACTTAAGAAAATACTTGTTAATCCTCTGTTGTCTGATCCACTTAGTTTAGTCAGCTTTGAAAGTCTTCTCTGGGTAATCAGGGCTTCCATAATTGCTTGATTACTAGATTATGTTTTTTTATTTTATTTTTATACTTTCTGTTTGGGCTTAACGTGGTTTGACCACAGATTTTTTTAAATTTTTTTTTAGATTTCTGAGTTTTCATCTCGTAAGGTGTAGTTTATGTTTGAAAATTCTGTCAGTAGTGGAGTTTATGTAAAAATAAACAGTTGGTGTTGCCACATGAGATTCCCATGCCATCACTTCTGCGAAGTTTTTCTTGTAGTCTTTGCTCTCTCTTTTTCAGGTCACTATTCATAGTTCTCCAGCCATTAAGCATTTGAACTATTTGAGATTTTCTTCTTTTAAAGGGATAAAAAGAGATAACCATGTAATCCAGATCTGCTGTGTTTGGAGTAGTAACATGTAATCTCAGTCTTACTTTGGATTGTTTAATATGTGTCTGTGATCTTGAAGGGCAGTGACAGTTGCATTTCTTTGTTTTCTTTAATGAACTTCTAAAAACACATGGGAACATGATAATTTAAACTGCTGTGATGGTGCCCACATCTTCTGAAGTTGATATTTACATGGCTTAGAATAATGTACTCTGAGGAATTAAGCATCCATATCTCTAGATGCTTAGATATCTATTGGAAACTGGACTATAACACTTTACTGTTCATGGGCAGTATATTTTAAGGGCTATATTATTAACACTCAGATGAAGGATTTTGAAGTACTTTAAACACTTATACAGCATGAAATTTTGTGTACATATATATATATGTATGTTTCTATTTATTTATTTTAAATGATCCTTTTTTAAGAATTGCAGTTGATGCGGCTACTTTCCGTGCTGAATAGCATCTCTCAGATTATTCCTGTTTTCACATGAGTTATCTCTGATCTTCAACTGCTCTTCTCATTCTTATCATCAAGCAAGAAACATCATCGCAAGTAATCTTTTCCCCAGTAATGTGTATTTCATTTTCAAAACCAAAAGACCTTAATTTTCTCTGGGATTTGAGCTGGTCTTTAAAAGATTTCAAAACACTTCTAACGCTTGTTTAAAACACATTACTAACATTATGCTTTTGGTTTTTTTTAAGATTACATTCAATGTCCATATTGTCAGAGGAGATTTAATGAAAATGCAGCTGACAGGCACATCAATTTCTGTAAGGAACAAGCAGCACGTATTACCAATAAAGGGAAACTGGCAGCTGATACCAAAGGGAAGGTTCCTACTCGAACACAGGTGAACTACAATATTTTTCTTAAATTGTAATTTGCTCTTGGTATCAAATCAAGCTTGTTAAATATTTTGTGTTGCCCTTAAATTGAATTAACTATTTTCTTCTGTAATTTTATTATTTTATGTGTTATAATATTATTAAATTAGGCACTAAACATGGAAGAGGTTTTTGTTTATGAAAGTTGCAATCAGAGGTTGAAAACTATCAAATATTATTAAGACTTGTTAAAATGACCAATAAAGGTAGCAGCAGGAAGTATAAATGCAGTGTTTGCAAGCGAAGTTTAATTTCTTTTGTGCCTTCTGAATCCACTTCAGAGCTGTTCCTTGAGTAGGCAAATAAAAGTACAGCATTGTTATATTTGGCTAAATAAAGGCTTAGAAAATTCAGGCAAATCGAACAAGGACTGCAGTTGTTAACTTAAGGATTAACAAGTGAAGGATTTAAGTGTGTTTTTTCATTTAGTGGTGAACCAAATGAAGAAGTTTTTTGGTTGTTTTTTTTTTTTTAGGAGGCTGTGAAGACTAAACAGACACAAGCAGTTAGTCTAGTGATTCTTGTACTATATTCTAAATCAGTATTGATTCAGTCTCATCAGGACTGAATGAGAACACATATCATTTTTGCCTTTCAAATCCTATTTTAACACGTTGCCCTGGAATAGTCTTAAAATTACCAGGTAAAGAATTGTTAATGTTAAGCTCTTGAGAAATCTACAAAAAAAGAACATTTGAGAAAAGATGTAGAAAAGTGGAAAGAATGTACCACGTGGTTAAATGAGAAACAAACAAGCAAAGCCACCAGGTTGGACAATGTATCCTACTAATATCATCTCAATATGTACAAGGCTGCAGGCTAGTAGGAACCTTTTGTCTAAGCCAGGTACCGACAAGCTATCTGCTAGTACTTAGTTTGTTTTCCCATAGTGCCTGAAATAACTAGCTGTCATATTGCATAGATAGTTAGACTTCATTGCTTAAATTTCTAGGCTGTATTTTGTTACAGTACAAGCCCGCTGCAGTTAAGAAGATGCCTTCTACAGTGTCAACACCACCGTCGTCATCATCACGTCTACCGCTGCCAAGTGGTGTTAGCAAAGCAGTTGTAGGTATGAAATGAACGTTAGCAATTTTGCATTTCTTTTCTGAATACTATTTTTCAGACTATGTAGTAGAAGTAGAAGGATTTCTAAAGATTGCCAAGTGATTTAAACTGAAGGAGTAAAAACTTCATGGGAGGAGATCAGTGTTACAAGAGTGGATAAGATGGTTTCTGTCTTTCATGATAAAATTTCTTAATAGTTTAGTTGCCTGATATTTTTTCTCATTACATAAATGATAGCTTTATACTTCATTGTTCAAGTTTACACCATTATTTGGAGATGCTGGGGAGATGGGGAAAGCATAAGTTGGAAGTGACACAGGTTGTTCCCTCTTCAGCAGAATTCTAAAGCGTGTAGGACTCTTGTGTTTTGTATATCAGGTCAAATTGGAGATTTTCTGAAAATTAAACTTGCAAAATCAGTTCATGAAATAATGCATAATTTTGTTTAATTCTGATCTTTTATATAATCTATTTCTTTTGCTTCATTCTGCAACTAACTTATATGCTGAATGTGATCGTGAATTGGTGAAAATACACGGTCAAGCCATGTATGTTATAATTATACAGACTACTCTTACTATGATTTCAGTTATTGGTAGGATTCTGTTTGTATATACTTTATTTCTGAAGAAATTGAGATCCGATTTTTTTATCAGAGTAGAAAATTTTTTCTATTGAATATATACTATAAACTTTTGGAAGCTCACCTGATTTTTTTTTTTTCCTGGTATCTTTTTATTTGTTAATACTTTCATAGTTCTAAAACTATTGTTTTGAATTTTACAATAAATCTATAGTGAAGAATATCTTTCAAATAGCAAAATCTTATGCTTTCTTATATTTCCCTGCTTGCTTTCAACTGTAAGGTTCCTCTTCAAGTAAAGCATTGTCTTCAGCTGGATCTGGTGGCAGCAAAATTCAGTCATTATCACCAGCTCATAAAAACTCATTGGGAATGGTGAACCCACAAGCAGGGTAAGTTCTCATTTAATGTTGTCATTAATGGCTTATTTCATATTTATTTCTACTAGTTCTAGAAGAGGCTTTGGGCTGTTCTTTGTTGTTCTTTTATTGTCCTGTTTTCTGCAAGCTTCAAAATGCAGTACTTGGAATTCATCTTTTATTTATAAATGTAATTAATGTTTAAGGGACATTGGAGGAGGTGAAGATGCATTTTCTAATGTTAAAATAACAGCAAAGAATGTGAAGTGATAAAACTACATAAAAAAGATTTCATAGTTTCAGAATGTGCAGAAGCAGTTGGAACTGTACTGTTTTTCTATGTAAAAGTGAAAAGATTTTAAAAGAGAAAATATCAAGCATAACTTCTAGAATTTTGTGAAAATAAAGACACTTCTGCCATGGATCACAAGGCAATTGTGACAAAATCTTTCCTCTTAGCACAACAGAATGGACACCTCTCCTCCTCTCTTCCTTGTAAAATAGATGAGACAGCACATGAAGGCAGTAAAATCCTGTGCTCTACAACAGTAACAAGAAATGGTAGATGTAGATATTATTAGAGTTTCCTGAAAGTGTCTATTTTGCTTAAGGCTGTTACTAGTGTTTGGTAGGAGCATATTCAGTGCAAACTGTATGAAAGAAGAGTGTATTGGGGGGACTGAGGAAAAGTGCTAGAACTGCATCACAGAATGGTTGAGGTTGGCTGGAACCTCTGGAGCTGTCTGGTCCAACCCCTGCTCATGCAAGGACACCCAGAGCAGCCTGCCCATGCCTGTGTCCAGGTGGTTTTGGAAGATCTCCAGAGGAGAAATAGAGAGGTTGGGATGAAAGCCTTTGAAATCAGAAAGGAATCTTAGTGTTAGATGAAGAAATACATTGCAACTGGAGATGGGAAAGGAAAAGGATTGTTATTTTGCCATGCATTGTGAAGACTCTAGCTTTTCTTTCTTTGCCTTGCATCAGACTTCCGCTTTTCTGTTTCTGCTGTTCTCTTTTCCTGTGTCTTCCCCTCAGAACTGTAAGATTTGGTAAAAGTGATTCAAGTCATTGTGAGAGACAAGTGGCTACAGAGAATCATCAGCATAGTGTAGATAACTATGATTTGATCAGACATTGTTAACGCTTCAGAGACAACAAATGAGTAGAGTATGAGAGTAAAGGAAAAGCTCATTTTGTGCATTTCAGGCAAATAAGTTGAATATGAGCAGAAGGAAATTATTTTTATTGGAAGAAAGGGGGAATAGGGTTGGGCATGATGAAAAGTAAACGTTACTGCAGGTAGAGGTGGGTAAGCATGTTAAGCCATGATCATCGTGTGAGTGGCAGGGAATGGTGATGTAAGGAAGAAAGAATAGGTGGAAATACTGGTTGCAGAAGGCCATCAAGAGTAGCTAAACTGTGGAAGGGAAATAATTGAATTCAAAACAATGTACAGGGAGAATTAGATGGCTGAACAGCAGAAGTTGAATTAGCACTCAAAGTAGGTCTGCAAAGCCCTTCAAAATGAATCAGCTGAGATAAGTTGAAGGCATGTTCCTAACTCCAGTGGTAAATCCCAGCTATTTGGGAAAGATTCTTTCCTACTGACAGTTTCCAATTGCAGTCTGTTAATTTGTGAGTTTGTGAGACACAAGTTTATCTTCCCTTCCTAACAAAACTGTTATGTTGAATTCTAGCAGTCAGTTGCTCACAACTTACTACTTATTTTTGTCAAGGTTGGTGGAAGAATTGTGATGTGACCAGATCAAACAGTAATGTATGGAGAGGTGTTAGCGCATGTTCTCTGTTTTCACATGCTGTTGCATGCAAATAGATGACTTCTTTTTGGCATCACTCTCAGATAATGTTCTCTGCAGAGAGGCAGTGAATATTAGCTTGGCTCGTAATGGCACTTAGTTATCTGCACAATTGTACCTTTTTTAAAAAAGAATGTGAATGTGATGAATCCTTCTGCCTGCAGTCCTTTTTTACTTCCTTGTTGTAAAACAACAACAACAAACCAAAAAAACTCCAACAACAACAGAACTTCTATTCCATTCTTGCCTTTGCCAAGCAATCCTTTGTTTCGTTGGTGGTCATACTAACTTCTCAAGTTGACTTCTCAAGAAGTCAACTTAATGTGCATCTTTTCTAAGCATTCTAATTGAGAACTTTTCTATTGTGTGTGTTGTACTTCTGAGAACAAGCTTGTCAGGAATTATGTTGAAGCAAAGAGACACAGAAGTAGTTACAACATGGAAAAATTAGGTGCCTCACTTTGGTCACTAGTGGAAAATTTTGGCCTTACTCTACTCTCAGCTGTAATATTTGGGAGGAAGTGTATATATTTGAAATGTATAAGGTTCTACTGAAATAACTATAGACTTCTATCAGAGTAAAGAACGAGACATTAACAAGTCAACACAGTGAAGTCAGAGAGTAAAAATAATTAACATTGTACTGAAACCGATTTTAGGCATTGAAGTGTCAGATAATTAAAGCTTTAGCTAATTGCAGCTTAAAATATATTTTATAAAAGCTGCTCTTCCTTCTGAGTTGTTATTGAACTGATTTACTGAGCACAGTGTGCACATATATTGTTTTAAGTGCAGTCATTCAAATGTTAAGAATGTTAGTTTTCTGGGTTGTTTTTTCTTTTTTTTTTGTAGTTGCTCAGGAGCTGAGATTTTTTTTTGGGGGTTGAATTCCAGTCTTGCTGTAGGAAAAGACCTCCTGAAGTGTTATTCACACCCTAAGACAAACAGTAATTTTGAATGGTTTTTTTTGTATTCATAAAGTGAGGTTTTCCATTTTTGCTTAGATTGTTTTAATTCCAGATTTCACAGAGGTTTTAAGGCTAGATAGAATTAGAATTATAATGTGTCATGTCAAGGATGAATTAAGTGGATATTAGAGAGGGAGCACTTTATTCCAACACTGACTCTTCCTCTTCAGGGCACCTGTTCACTGTGTGATGGTTATGTGAAGAGTCAAGAAACTGGAATCTTTAGCTAGTTTAACATCCAGAAGGGATTAAAATACACGGGAATGCAGTTTCTCTGTTGCTCTCTAGGTGGCACACTTGAACTGCTGTCAGAAGCTGTTGTGAAGCTGTTGGTGTTTTGTTATGTACAGAAAAAGTTATGTGACTTCATTTCATATGAAGTTCAACTCCAGTATTGTAGTATATGTTTTTATTTTATCAGAACACAAATGCAACCAAACTATATGAATTATGTTATTTTAACATTTTTGATATAATATTGCTATTCTTTTATTCCCCATGTAGAGGACCACAGTTAAAACATCACCAAAATAAGTTAAATTTAGCTTTATTCAGACTGATTTTGTGCATGTGGGTCTGGGTGTGTCAGCAGAGCTTGGCAGCGAGAGTTTTCTTTTTCTACCTTAACAGAATAAAAGCACAGCCATTTATAAATATGAATAGAAATGTGGCATAAGGGCATCGTTTTTGAGTACTAGAGAAACAAGTGAGAGTACAAGAGTAGAGTGTGACTCTGTACTGCTGTCACTAGGAAGAACTCCATTCACTTGAAAAATTCTACATAAATTTGTAGTTGAGTTTACATTTTGATGTGTGATGTTAAAACCCAAAGTTTGATATATCTTTCCTAAGAACACAAAGTTTAACACTTGTCTTGCATTTCTTGAGGGGTAGGGCAGTTCTCCTAAGCTGCCAGAAATAATAACTCCAGGAGGGAAAATTGGGTAGGTCCTTCCTATTCTACTGCTAAGCAAGCAGCCGGATTCCACCCATACAAACTATGTTTTGCATAGCAGAACTTAACTCTTTGTGGCCAGTCACCTTTTGCATATACAGATTAATTTCTCATCTCTGCATATTTCATGTATGAACATTAATATTTTTTTCAGAGTAGCTTGGAAAATTGTTTTTCAATAGGGCAAATGTGCCCTTAGTAATTACTTTCATTTTATTTGTGAGGTGAACATTGCTATTTAATGTTAAGCTGGGTACCGTGACTGGGAGTCACATCTGTCAGTGACACACCTAGTGCTGTCTTGCAACTGAAATGCCACATGAAAGGCTCATCTAACCTATGTCAGTATATTGTAAATTTCACATAGGTGTTTGCCATGCTGTACTGTAGCCTTTAAAAACAATCCTTATTAATCTCCTTAAATCAGACTCTAAGACAGCGTAGTTCAATGAAATCAAGACTAATAAGTCATCTTGGTGGTCAAAGATTCTTTTGATTGCACTTGTATTCATTAGTACCTGGAAGGGCTCAGCATGCTGTGGGGTTTTTTTGTTGTTGTTTTTGTGTTCTTTTTTGTCTGTTGAAGTGTGGAAGGATATTGCAGTTCTTCAGTTTGGCAGTCATGACTGCTGCTAGGATACTACACAATATTTTATACTGCAGGAGCCCAGAGTTCACCTATCATGTTGATGTGTTACTGGAAGTTCAAAAGAGAGCTAAGGAAATCACAACAGGTTGGAGTATGTGTCATGCAATGCCAAAAACCTCAGTCTTTGCTTCTCATTTTTGGGAAATATGGCTTTGGTCAAGCAGAAATTGATTGAACGTTTCCTGAGTTAATGAGCTTGAGCTAGAACATCTGGTGGGAGGAGGAGTGGGAAGAAGAACTCAAGGGAAACTCATCTGATAGCCTGCATTATTTGAGATCTAAATTGTCAGACTAGTATCTCAGTGCTCCCTTCTGATTTCATAATGAATGACTATCACTTAGCATTGTTCAATTTTTGCTCCCTATGAGGTGATTTCCTTTGATGCTTTACAGGTGTAATATGGATTGAAAGGTTCCCAAGCAAAGACTCTCCAAACCTAAATCTTGTAAAATTTATAGGCCCTGTACTTTCTAACGTGCTAATACAGAACAAGCATGAGAAGTTGTGATACAAATGTTGGAAGTTCACAAACTCTTTTTCTACTATTGTAATTTTTTTTGTGAGATATTAAAATCTGCATGAAAACAGTGAGCTTCCTTGATGGTGGTTTAGTAATTTTTCTAGTATTGCAGTTCATTGAGGTTAGATGACAAGAGTCAGAAATTTTTATCTTAATTTTAATATGTTATTTCTCTCAGTTTGAGAGTGTATTTTTTTTCATTATTACTTATGTTCATTTGTTTTCCTTATGACTTGCCAGGAGGGTAGGAAGCTTCAGAAGAGCTTAGCTTCAGCAGCCTAGACGTTTTAATCAATTTTGGTTGGCTTGTTTGTTTATAGCTCTTTAATTTCAGAAGGATCAATAAAAATACTCTGAGATTGTCATAGTTTTTCAGTTAGAGCTATTATTTTTGTTGGCAGTAAGAAGAAATGTTTTGTTACATTACTGACATGGGAATGGAGATATAATTGAATTTTGCAAGTTTTACTGTTTTAAGATGATTTAAAAGCAGAATTTTACGGGAAGACCTAATTTTTCTGATACAAATTATGATTTCTCAAGAAATAGTGTTCCTTTTGATGATGTTGAAGGGAGAGAGGTAGTGTGTTGTGGATTTTTTTTTAATAATCTTTTTGGTGTAGAATTGTTATCCCCAGTAGTTGGGGAAAAAAAATTATTACAAAAATACTGCCTGTACATAGTGCTATGTACGTGCTGTGAGTGGGTGTTTTAATGATTAAAATGAACTTATTCTTCTTTCAGGCTTTCTTCTGGGTTTTTTTCCTCATTTCTTCTCAGATAACCTTCAGTGCTTTAATTTAAGAAAAAAAAATGGGGGGGGGGGGAACATCTTTCTTTCCTGCTAATCCTAAAGTCAAAGAGGCTCGTACTTGCAACTTTTACTTTCTAACTTTCTATCTTAATACAGTTGGCATGAGTTATAAATAGGAAACTTGTTTTCTAGATGGGGATGAATTTAATGTTATGAAAAGGATTTTTAAGACAAAAAAAGCCCAAATGTGAGTGTATTGTGTAAACTGTGAATATAATTAGCAATAATTTTATCTTTTTTTAATAAACGTATGCACTGGAAACTTAATCCAATTATAAGCCTACAAAATTATCCCCTTTTTAAAGTAAGAATTCCCCTCTTGTTTGCTGGATAAATATATTTTTGGTAAATAAGAATTCTTTAGGAATATAGATGTAATTGTAAGTACTTTTTTGCAATAACTTAAATAGCAATCTGACAATCTCCTTATGAGTACCCCTTTATATATTTTAGTAGTAAGATGGACAAGTTAGGCCCACCACTGCGAACTGGAAGAGATGTGCAAAGGTTTTATGACACTGATAGAAAAACAGACAGTACCATCAAAAGACCAAATGAATTGTTGCCTATAAAGAAGTAAGTATTGCAAATGAGCTTGATTTATCAGTTATACAGAAATGTTCCTCAAAAGCATTGGAATATTAGAGGTGTGGCCTTGATAGATATCTGCTTTCCAGTACGTTTTCGCTATAAATGTTGTGGGAATGTAATTAGTGTAAGTATTTATTTCACATTAGGCGAACTGTGTCATGGTAGGAATGGAAAGGTGATGAAAATGTTCTTCAGGTTTCATTTCTTCTGTCACTGATTCTGCACTCAGAGTAATGTGTTCTGTAAAGCTGAGATAAAACTGAAGTGATATGATGCAAAGCTTAAGCAAGCATTTAAACCTGTAGAACAGCTGATAGCTTTATAAATGATTGCCTTACACGCTAATAGTTTATGGCAAAGGAATTTTATTTTGCTCTTGACGTCAAATATTTCCTTCTTCTGTAAGATAGCTGTGATTGTCCAAGAGTGTAAGTAAGGTAAGCTTTATGATGAAAGATTAAAATCAAGGCTGCTTTGGAAGAAATGATGTTCTATCTTTTAAAAAAGAAATTATTAAAACGTTAACATAATATAATTGAATTTGACATCTTCCAAATTACAGTGGACTGTTTCTTCATAAATACCTCAAAGCGTATTGCAGAAGAGTAATTAGTAATGAAATATGTAGCCCATATTTGGAATATATTGATATACATAGCAGAAACGTATTTAAATCTTGCAATGCTGTTTTAGTGTTGTAACCAAAGCTGAAGTATTCTGGCCTTATCCTAAAAATATTTTAACTTTGGTTCCTATTAAGAAGCAAAAGGAGAAAAGGGGAGAGGAAGCCTTCAAGAGAGGAACAGAGTGTGTGTGTCTGTGTGTGTCTTCCTTTGCACACCTAGTTAGAGGCATGAATCCTGTGAACTTTTGAAAATTAGGTCAATTTAAATTTTGTATACATTCACTAAGACTTATTTTCAATATCTCAGTAGTTCCTAAGCATGCTTACAGTAGCCTTTGTAGAGCAGGGACTTCTTAAAAAAAAAAAAAATCCTCTAAAGAATTTAGGCATTTAGTGTGCTCTTCATAACCTTGCTGTTTGAGTTGTACTTACTCAAATGTCCGCTGGAATTGTGGATTAAACCTGTCTTCCTTGCAGGAGGTTATTCAATACATTGCATTCGTATGGCACTAGAGAAGCGTGAATAACTATTAGCTAAATTCCACATAGTGATGTGGGTGATTACATTTTAGGGCAAAGACTCCTGGATTTCGGTGTTCTTGCTGAAAATTATTTATGATTTTGCCCTGAAGTATGAGCTATGGTCGATGACAGTGATATCTGTCAAGAACATCTGAATACTTTCTGTTTAGGAAGCAAACTTGATATTTCAGTCTTTTAAAGTAAAATGTGAACAAACTGCAAATGTCTAGATTAAAAAAAAAAAAAAAAGGCAAGCTTCTCATGCAAATTTGTTTCAGTTTTTGATTTTGCAAGCAGTGGTAATTCAATTAGATGTACAACATGAACTGCTAAGGAACTGCTTAGAGGTCACCTCCAGTCCTAATTCTTTTGAAATAGAGACATAATAATAAACATTTGTAAAGGTATGTCTAGACATCAAGAATTAAAGATGACACTGACAATCTCATCTGCTGTCAGGTTCCATCAGTACTTCATGTTATACAGCTTAGAACTGGTATTATATGTATGTTGTTTATAATTATACTAGACAAATGGCAAAAATAGCAGAGGTTGGACAGGTTGGAAGAGACCAAGCTGTATGACAGAAGTGGAGATGATGAAGAATCTCTGGCCATGTTGAAAGACATCTGTCTCCATAGATCAGATTGCATCCTGCATATTCAGTTTCAAAACTGGTTATCATATGTATGTTAAATCTGATGCTAATTTTAGTGTCCTGATCTGGGATGCATGAAGTTACAGACAGTGGCAGCCTGCTACTTCTGCTGTTGATTTACTTGTAAAAAGATAGAAATCAATGCAGTTACTTATAGGGTTAGTGTATCAGTCTAAGAATTTTTTTTTGCCATGTTTTTCAGTTTTTTGGTGTTTTTTTTTCCTGGTTTCATCAATAACTTGTGTGCTGTACTGGACACCATTCAAATGATGGTTTTAAGATGCTGAAAATCTGGGAAAAAAAAAAACAACAAACTGTGACTCATTAATAGATTAGAAGAGTGTGGTTTAAATTATCTGGCATTGCCTAAACCGGAATTGGGACTCAGTTCTATTCATTCTTTTATCATCACTGATCCATGATCCACTGTTTGTATTTCTTCATCTGAATTATTCTTAATACACTCTTCTAGCTTTCAGAGCGAGTGAAAGTCCAGTATGTGTTCCTGCACTACTGAGCTTTACTGAATTTTACTTGCATTTAAGGAACGGTCTGTCTCCAATGTGAAATGAGATAGAGAAGATAACACATGCTAGTTTTTATAACCTGTACAGTTGTGCATACTTATAACAGTATAATTTGAATTGGTTAAAACTTTTATCCCAAAAGTCTGTATCTTCGGAAAAACTGATATAACTTAATTTTATATCAGAATTAAAACCTATGTGGCGCTTTTCAATCCACACTTTTTTTTTTTAAATGAAATCATCTTTAGAATCTCTTTGCTGAGTAAGAGAGCAGATAGGAAAACTAAAGGAGAAAAAGCTGGTTTTCTGCCCAGTGAGCCAGAATCTCTGATAATTCCAATGTGCCTGTCGAATGCACAAGCCATTCCTATTAAATCTGAATATTCTATCCAAATGTAGCTTCACTTGATTCAATCTTAAATTTTGTTCCTGGATTCCATTTTTGTGATCAATCATTTGATCACTTTTCCATTAAATTATTTTAAGTCACTGGTTTTAAATGGAAGGAACTGAAAAGCCCTCCTTAGCCTATATTATTGACATGGAAGAAAAAGTTGCCTGAAATTCAGGTGTAGCACTAATGTGCTTCACTTGTGTCAGTGAAGCATTTGAAGTTTTTTCTTCATTTATACTTGAAAAACCAAACCAGGAGTATGCTGTCTGTAATTCTGAAAAGAGCAGATAGGCTCATCTGGAAAAAATCATTGTTGGGGTTTTTCTTACTGACCAGGTTCTTGGTGACTAAATTTTATGTGAGATCTTGTTTTAATATTTCTTCATATCCGTGAGCCTGTCCCAACTTTAATTTGTTCATCAGTGTTCAAGAATGAGAACCAAAAAACTTGGTTGGTCATGCGCGAGTTGTCATAGTTGCTGAAGCCTTGCAAGGAAGAAATCCTGGTGAATAATAATTCTCTTGAGCAATGAAGAAAAATTCTGTCCTTGATTACAGATGAAAAAAGGATGCCCATTCCCATCTTTTTTTTTTTCCTTTGTGCTGCAAAGATTTTCCAGAGAATTCTGAAGTTTTTACCACTCACTAAAGCAAGCACAGAGATGTTCAGTGTGTTTAGGATGCGTACTGGAGTTTAGAAATTATATACTGGGGCTGACAAGACCCACCAGTTCATTGTGATCTGCAGACTGCTGCTTTCTATTTCTCTGAAATCCCTGCAAATACTATAAAGTGGCTTACAGTCTGTCAAGAAAGACCTTGGAATATACTAAACAATCAGTAGTGTGGGTTCTGCTTGTATTTTGGTATGGTAACAAATGAAATACGTGAACAGGACAGGACTTGTGCCATCGCTTAGCTTGCAATGCAAGATTCAATTTATGTGCACTTCAAAGCAAGCAAAGATTTTCTATCTGGTGTTCATAGGAAATAAGCTATTAATACAGTAAAGCAATGGATGGATTATTGAACCAATTTTTGTATGTAACATAAATATCTATTCTTGTGTGTATATAATTAATCAATATTTTTTTCTGTTTTAGAGGTGCAACAAAAACACGGATGTCAACCCCTCCTAGTGTGGCAAGAACTATGAGTACGGGTGCTCTATCAAACAAAAAGAAAACTAGTAATTCAGACAGTTACTCAAGGTAGCTTTTAGTTTTGTTATTTTGTCAGCAATAGAATCTTCACTTAAGAGGAGTACTTGTTGCAGAATATATTTTCCCTACATCAGCATTGTCATGTGGTGTCTAAGATGTGCAGGAGATAGCGTTAGAAATGTCAAAAATCTCCTAGGAAATAGTTGAACGTTTGGGTGAATGATCTTTTGAATGACGTGGCTCAACAGAAGTTAGATGAAAGTTACATGCACAGTATGTAAAGAACTTGTCTGATGTGTAACTTAAACGGGAAAAAATTATTCTTCTAAACTTTCTAGTTTGACAAGTGCCTTTCTTATTTTGACAAGCTAATTTTTGTAAGTTTTCAAATGGTCTGTTTAACACAGTGACTCAGAAACTTACTTGATCTGGCTTCTAAAAATTTTGGCACTTTTTGTTGCCTTGTATCTGGAGCTAAGTAGGGGAATTTCAATAAATTTACAAGGTAAGCATGAAAATGAGGATAACAGCAATAATTCACTGCAAGGATTTAAATAATTTTGGATCAAGTTATACTGAACTGAGTTAGTCGGAGTTCTTTATATCTGTTTTTTCAGGTCTGATGGTAAAATTGGGAATGACACTGCTGACTACCTATCCTCAGTCAACGGAGGAAGTTCAAAAAACAGTGAAGGAAATTCAACTGTACAGTTATCTAAATTTTGCCATGAGTGTGGAACAAGGTATCCAGTGGAATGGGCAAAGTTCTGCTGTGAGTGTGGAATTCGAAGAATGGTTGTATGAATGCATTCTTAAAATCACAGTGAAAAGGAGATCCTGAAAGCATCTGCTATGTGCTGCTGCATGGAAAGCTAAAACACTCCTTCAAGTTAGGCTTCATGCTGCAAACATGTTGAAACATTATAATTTTCTGAGTGCAATCTGCTGGTTACGTAGTAATTTATATATAAATGTGCATACTGTATATAGAAGTAACAGGTACCTAAAACTGTGCCATTTGAGGAAATACTCTTTAATCTCAGTTGGAAATATTTTAAATTAGGTTAAAAATGTGTTAAGTAACTTAAGTAGTGGAAGTGGTTCAGTGTTACTTTTCTTATATAATTCTATAGAATTTATTTAAGTCACTTACCCATAGGGAACTAGCCATGAAGAACTTCTGAATCAAAAGTTTCTCTGTGGAGGCATTTCCTTCTTAGGTGATAGTAACTAGATGCTATCTATGTTGTAAGTGAAAACAACATGAGCAACTCCCTATAAATTCCTTGTTACAAGTGCAGAAAACTGGAGCCCATTACCCTCTTTACTGTAATACCCTAACTGAAATTTCCTGTTACTTGCAGGAATTTTTTTAATGATTCAAATAGGAAGAAGTCTGAAAATTCCAGTCTAAGAAAATCAAAAGTTGTGGTTGTTGCTGTGCCCATTCTGTTTTTGAATAAGAACTTGTTAATGTTTTATGTATTTATAAGGACAAATGTGTTATTTTAATCAGTTACTTTTATTCATAAATACTTTTCTTCTTCTCCCTGTGCTCTCCACCATGGCTAGCATATGCAAAAGCCCTCTTTACTTTTGTCCTTAAGGCTTGCAAATGCCCTATTTTTCTCTTTCCTCATCTCCTGAAGGGGACTCTATTATAACTGTACCTGAATGTTGAACGTATTTTAAAAAACAACCTTCTTATTGTGTCCAGTACAAAAAGAGTTCCATAAAAATGTGTACTATTAGAAAAGTAGAAATTAAGTAGTTACTGTTTTTTATACTTATTCCTGTGCAAATAGGTTCAGGTTCAGAGTTCGTATGTTTACAGCTCTACATGTGTTTTTTGTGGTGGATTTTCTTCTGTTTGTTTTTTTTTTCTTCCCCTTCCCAGTTCTTGGTATTCATAGGCTCTGAACAGCAGCCTCATAAAGTTTGTAACAGTCTTCATGCGAGTTCATTGGTGTGAAGTGTCAGGACCTGTAAGCTGTTCCTTTTTTGGTGGTGGTTTTGGTTTTTGTTTATTTTTTAAACAATGCAATCTACTAAAACCATTCACAAGCTGAATCACTTGTGTCTGAATGTAGTGATTTGTTAAAGTTTTATTTTGAAGTACTGCTACTGTCTTATTGGAAGAACAATCTGGAAGGACTTAATTGTGCCTTTACCACAGTACACTTTTTTTTTTTTTGTCAAAAATGGTTACTTTCAACTCACAAACACTATTAGAAGCAATTTATATAGTTTCTTTTTTAGCTTGTGTAAAATATACTGCAGTGTTGCACTATAGTAACTTAATCATTGAACACATTATCAAAACTTGTGATTAACATCAGTGTCACCAATTGTGAGTAAACATGAAGAGATTTATCTCCAAATCAAGTTCTTTTCTTGGAGGATAAGAGACTTAAGGGGCTTGATGTAGTCATCTTCCAGGCCAGAAGCTATTGGTATTTTAGAATTACTTCAATGTTATGAAATTGTCTTATACTTTGTATAAAATCTTATTTCTAGAAATTATTCTTTTACCTAGTATAGTCTTGTAAATATTTGGTATAAGCTGGCTATAGAGCGTGATAGGTTGGATAACCATTAATGATAGACCTGACAAGTTTTAGCCAAATTGTATTCTAGTTAGTTTAGGTCATAGGATCCATATTTTGGCACGTTCCTATCTGTACTTAGAAAAAATTGGAATCCTGCATCTTTAGCACAGATAAGTCTGCTTTAGAGAATTTCTCCAGGACTTGGGCCTTGGAGGTCTACAGTTGATGGAGGTTAGGAGCATCCATCAGAAAAGGTGCAAATCCAAAATAGATTTGATTGGTTAGTGAATCTATAAAATAATCAATTTCTATTTCTAACTTAATTAATCCCCATTTCTTGTTTCTGCTGGAAGTATGCATTTTACCACTTAATGAAAATACATTCTACAAGGAGAAATTTTGTAAGGAAATAAATATATTTTAGGTTTTCGAGGGCTAGTGAAGCTATTGAAAAATATATTGACTTTTTCTCCTTTGAATTGCAAGTGGTACGTTTCCTAATTTTAAAATCAATTCACATAAAATAATGATAATTTCTGCTTTTTGAGTTGTGTAACGCTGCTTCCAGAGCTGCGTACAGTAAAGTGAGAGGCACATGGTTTACTTTATTTATGCTTCTGTGATGTATAGCAAGAATTAGAGAATTAAACTGAACTGAAAGAAAAATTTTAAAAGATTTCCTCAACTTTTAATTTGGCATTACAAGAACGTCTACTAAGTATAAATGACTATCAATAGTAACATTTTATAATGTATGTTTGAATATTCAATAAAGATAAGCAGGCAATGAAAATGTATGACTATGCTGTTTATTATGGTATAGTGAGACTATCAGAAACTTAGTATGTATCTACTTTATGAGCTGTTTGTTTTTTTCACTGAGTGACATGTTTCTGAAGTCTTTGGTGTTGCTGACAGTAGACAGTATTATGTGTATAATCAGAACAGATCACTGTAATTCCATCTAAATGCTTGCAAATAGATTAGCACTACAGAACTGAATATGGAAATGAATCAATTATAGTATTTAAAGAAAAAAAAAAACTGTAAGGGAGATAAGTAAAGAGTCTGGTCTTCAGGTATATTGCATGTGACAAGAAGTATCTGAATTCAGTTTAACAAGACCTAGGTTCAAACCATCTTTGCCCTACTCCTTCCCCTGCTTTTTTGTCTTGGTTCTTCCTGGGAGAAGAAAACATCGTTACATATTCTGAAAGGGCAGAGTTCCTGAATGCATCAAGAATCAAAATTTTTATAGTTGTAAACATAAAATATCTAGATGAACTATGCACCCAGATGCACTGCACTGCTAAGTCTAAACTTAGCTAGTGTTATCCTCTGGATGACTTGTTGACAGATACTTAACTTAAAAGCATAAATTCCTTAGACTAAATGTGTAAATTTGGGATGATACGATTACTTCATCTGTCTTTTCAGTTGTGTATTTGTGAATGCACATATATACTGTGTAAGTACTCTAGTCTTGCAAATATAAAAAGATGTTTCACTGAAGCAGAGTTGATACAAAACAATACTGAACACTACTGGGGGATTGTGAAGTCCCAGACAGATAATTGGTACACCTGCTATATACAGAAATTTATTGATGTGATTTTAATTCTACCTATGTCTATGTCTGACCCTATGACAGACTTTCTTTTAGCATCTGCCACTGTATGTTCCTGAAGTGCTTGCTAAGACATGAATAAAATGCAACTAATGAGAAAAGAAGGAAATAAAGGAAGGCTAATGGTAAAATTCCATGTAGAGAAACAAGAATGTTGTTGCTGAGGTCACAACTAAGCATGTTTACATTCACACTTTGGTTTTGTGAATATTTGATTTGATTTATAAAGGATGTCAGAGCAACAGAAAGGAGCTGTAAGAACTGAAACTGTACTGATGCAAGTGAAATGGAATTTTGAAATATACTGGCTTCAGAAGTGAAAGCAGGACAGCGTAAGGCCTAACCTTTTCATGATTTTACAAGTTTATAGTTACGCATGATAGTGATTCCAGTTCTGAAAGAAACAGTCTAGGGTATATCTACTCACAGCAACTTAAATGCATGGTTAGATAGTTATAGATAGTTATATCCTCAGTGTACACCTCTACAGGAAAGTGTGCAGTAGGAGGCAGAGCAAGCTTTAGCACCCTTTCAAATAGTAACTGTGGACATCTGCGCAGAAATTTTCAAATGTGCCAAAGAGATTTGAACAGCCACCAGCCTCCCTTAGGTGGATTTAAAAGGTTTAACCTGAAGAGTTGCATGGCCAGGGAGCTCTCCATGGTGCTCCCGGCACCAACCTTTCCCTGCAGTGTGCCTGGCAGTGTCTGAGCTCTTCCATGCAGCAGGTAGCAAGGTATGCAGAGTAGTAACTCCAAAATGTCTTTTAAGACCTGAGTTGAACTTCACCCATCGTGAAACTTATGTCATTTGAGTGAGACTAGGTCCTAATTCACAGTTGCAGTTAAGAGTTAGTGCCTGAATGCAGTGTGTGAAGAGAATGGTTCCATGATGCATGCTTATCAAGTCTGTGAGGGAAAGTATGATTGCAGTAATTGAAATGCTAACAAACAAGGCATTTAGCAGTGCACACTGATGTAAGCTATGTAATTAGAGTCTAAAATGAAATGGTACTGTCAGTGTCTTACTAAGTTCTCAAGAAGTACTGGTTTTCAACACGTAGCTTTTGTATCTGTGCAGTGAAAAAACTTTTTATAAGTTTTCTTAAATCTTGACTAAAAAATGTGGGTTTTGTAAGAGCAATTGTTGCAACTGCATTTCTTTCTGTTTAACAAAGCTATGAGTAATTGTTTGGGTTGTATGAGACAGTGGAAATATGGTCTTTGAAGCTGTTTTTGGTGACTGGTGAAAATATTTTCATTGACTTCAAAGAAGCACAGCTCATTCCAACTTGTGATGGTTGTATTGCTGAGTAAAACTTTGAATTACTTTGTTGTGTCATTGAAAGAAATGTTCAGTAAGAGATTCCTAGCTGTATTCAGCATTTACTTGGTTGATGCTGTCTTTCAAGCATTCATGATATAAAGGATTAATGTTGTGTATTAATGGATTTTGTTTTGTTCATTATCTTTTTAAATGTATGTTGTTCCAGAATACTCTATTCTGCTTATCCTCATTTTGTGTTGGCAGAAAACAGCCCACTTTTATTTTCTTTTAAATTACTGTTTGTTTGTTTGTTTGTTTGTTTTTAATAAATCATTTTCCTCCAATACAAACAGCAACTTGTGAGACAGCAAATCAAATACTCAGTTTAATATTTTTGAACAGTGAGCATAAGGTCTAAATGTTGTTTTTCATTGTTCTTGTATTTGAATTTCTGGCAGAAATGTAGATGGATTTGGGTCTGTTCTTGTAAAATGCTAAGTATTCCATGGCTGTTATAATACCTACTTTATATGATTGCTTTAACTCTCTTGGTGTTCATCTTTCATATGATACTTAATATGTATCTTCATAAGTTTATTTATTGATGTTCCATGTTTTTAAATGTTCATTCATGTATTTAATTTCATCAGCACTGCATTTATTATGTTTGCCTTGCCCTTCAGTATACTTAATATTTGTTTGTGACTATCCAGTGTTTTGTGGGTTTTTTTGTTGTTTTTGCAGAATGCTTGGGTTTGTGTTTTATTTGATATATTATTATTATTTTAAAACCTCAGTTCTGCGTTCATCAATAAAAGTAAATCACCCCCTGATGCTAATTTGCCACTTGTTAACAATAAAGTGAATATGCCAATAAAACTTCTTGACATGCATGCTTTTTTTTTTTTTTTTTGTAGTCATATGCAAAATCGCCTTAAATAAAATACCATAAAGATAGGTAATATCATTTCAGATTTTAAATAATGTATTTCATCTCAGGGAAACCATACCTACTGGGAGGACACACCCACTGTCTTTTCATAGGATAGATTTTTTTTAATTGACTTGCAAAATAAGATTTGTATACACCTGTTGCCTTGAAGAATAATCTATACCAAGTACTGAAGTTAGTAGTATTTGCTCATGTGAATTTAACACATTGCAGGAACCATCTGGAGTACGCATGCCTGGCCATGTTGCTTACCCAACAAATATCTGGATAATTGAAGTCCCTCATAAGAACCAGCACCTGGTATCACAAGGCTACTTCCAGCTGCTTATAAAAGGCCTCATCAAACTCCTCTTTGCCTGAAGACTGGAGGATAGCCAGTGTCATTCTGGACCTCAGAAAGGGCAAGAAGGAGGATCCAGGAAACTACAGGCCAGTCAGCCTCACTACCATCCCTGGAAAGGTGATGGAACAGCTTGTTCTGGATGCTGTCTCCAGGCAATTGGAAGAGAAGAAGGTTAGCAGGAATAGTCAGCATGGGTTCGCTTGTGGGGCAGTCATGCGTGACCAGCCTGGTAGCCTTCTGTGATGTCATCAGTGGCTGAGTGGTTGGGGAGAGATATAGTCTCCTTAATTTCAGCAAGGCATTTGATACTGTGTCCCACAACATCCTTATAACAAAGCTGAGGAAGTGTGGGATAGGTGAGTGGACGGTGAGAACTAGCTGACTGGCTAAGCTCAGAATGTTGTGATCAGTGGCTCAGAATCCAGTTGGAGGCCTGTAGTTAGTGGTGTTCCTCAGGGGTTGGTGCTGGGTCTGATATTG